CTATCCGCATCCACACTCAAGATATCTTCTTTTACATAGAACATCAACTCAAATATAATAGATCTGTTAGTACAGAGCGTAGCCATCTATGAGAAGAGCTTATAGAAAGAAATCATCTTATCAGAACACTTTTTTCTATTCACAAATGAAATTTAAAAAACTCGATAAGAAACAGAAAAACACCATTTTCCTGGAGACTTGTTATGTTCATTTCTTAGGAACAGAGCGACAATGGTATTGGACCCTTTAAAAATTTTTCTCTACTCTATGAGCCCTACCAATGGGCAAAATATGAGCTCAAACGGAGGGTATCAGTTGGTGAAGTTCCCTCTTTAGTTTCATCCTATTCTTGATTTTATCTTCATCATTTAATTAAACTATATCACGAATACTTTATATACAAGAAAGACAGAAATATCATTCGTGTTTCTTGATACTTCACATTGTGATACATCAGACAGACGCTTGGAAACCATTACGACTCTTTCCAAAAGAATCAAGAAGAAATGCCAACCAAATAGCTCTTTCTTGTGGCCGTAAATGTTGCATCCATAGTCTGCATGAATCCGATTAACCAATAAAAAAACAATTCTTACCCATTTTAGTTTGGAGATGATAGTGGCATGAAAACTTTCTTTGATTATTGTTAAGGTAACAGTGGATCTCAATCGCGGTGCACATTTTTTCAGATACATCGGATTTCTCCATCATTCTTCAGCAGTCAGTCAATTACTATATTATGAGCAAGAGACACTCTACTTTATAGTAGTGTCTAGTTCTCTTGATCAATGTGTCTCTTCTTAGATTTGCAGATACATATAAATATTTATTTACTAAAGAAAAACGAGATACAACTAAAATTCTCAATTTTCAGACGAGATATTCTCAGTTTTATCGACTATTCTCGGCATCGACGACAGAAAGACGATTGCGACAGGTGCAACTATATTCGTTCATAGTAATACTTCCGAGTTTATATCCAACTTTTGTGCAGTTCGATTTGTACAAAGAGTATTAGTCGTGTTAGATGTTGTCATTTCAAATTCGTTATTATTTTTCTGAAAAAAAGATTTATGTTCTATATAATTATTAATAAAAACTATTCACCTTTTCTTTCAGATGGACTTTATTATTGACATCACATCTAAGCCAATCACGACATCGTTTAGGTAAACAACAACATATATCACTTACTGGTATAATCAATTTAGGATCAATCTCATGTGGTTTAAGTGGATGAGTTAAATATGAAACAATAACACCAACAAGTAGAACAGTACCAACTGCAATTGGTGTATACCACATATAACTCACCGAATACAAATTAATAAAAGGATCACTTCTAAAATGTATATTATATTCACTTCTACTTTAAAATATTCTTCTAATTCTGATATTTATTTTTTTCTTTTGTCATAATGCTAGATATTCTATCAAACGATTTAAATATTCTTACTTTGTTGATACTATTTGATTTGTATTCATTTGTTCTATTGTACTATTTGTTATATCAGTACAATTAGCTATTGAAAGTGGTAAACGTACATTTTTCATTTGATTTTTTGTAATTTGAGCACCTAAAAAGATCCATAATTGCAGAGCGAGACTTGCTAAAAATCCTATCAATCCACCCCATTGATTAGCTTGTGGAAAGAAAAAGCCAAGACAGAAAACACCCATAATAGGACCTTCTAGAACACCAAATAAAGATAAAGTTGCATTAAGAATTGATCCAAAAAAACTAACAACATAAGTAAGTAACATAATACAAATTCCAAGTATAATTGAAACAATTTTAGATATAAAACCTTGTCGTTGATCAGTCATTTGTCGATTCATTAATCCTTTATAAATATCTTCAATAAGTACCGCTGCTAGACTATTCAATCCAGATGAAATAGTTGATAGAGAACCAGAAAACATACAAGCAAGAAATACACCTGGTAAACCTTTTTTATCACCTAATACTTCCATAACAAAATATGGAAAAATTTGATCAATATCTTCAATTTTTTTAGATGTATATGGATCACAATCAACATAATATGCATAAAGAATAACTCCCATAAAACTTGATAAAAGAATAAGAATCATTGTACCAATTGCATTAATAAATAGAGCTTGTTTAGCACCCCGTGTTGAACGAATAGACATATAACGTTGTATTTGTGTTTGATTAAAACCATATGTTGCAAGTGTATTGAATGAACTACCGATAAGTAATGACCAAATTGTATGACGAGTACGAGGATCAAAACTAACACTGAAAAAAATAAGCCAATCTTTTTAAATAACTATAATGATTTTCTTCATATTCAAAAATATTCAAAATGCAATTTTCTATTTTATACTTGTCAAATTCAATTCTTCCTCCTTGTGATGCT